TCCAGGGTCGCCCCTTCCCCTCCTGTAAGTCCCCACACGGCCGATCACCCAGCCCGTTCGGACCCGCTCACCATGGCGCCGCCTGCAGCCTGGCTCGATCGCCCCGCAGCAGCCCTGCGGGTCCGCCTCTGCCCGCTTGCCAGCCCGGTCCGGCCGCTGCGCTCCGTCGGGACGCAGGAGCCCCAGCTCGGCGGCGGGCGGAGCATTTTAGGCACCGCCCTGGATGGGGGCGGGGCCCTCGTGGCTAGGCCAATGGGAGCCCGCGCTGGGACGGCGGGGCGGGGTCACGTGCGCGCGGGGCCGGGTCGGCTAAGGCGGGGCGGGAGCTGCGCGCAGCTGGCAGAAAGGGGGACGGGGAGGGGGATGAGGGGGGGACACTTTTAGCCTCAGCGCGCGAGGATTGGGCGCCCGGGGCTGCGGGTCCCGGGCCAGGAAACCTCCCTCTGACCTTAGAGGCTGCTCGTATTCACCGGGGTTTACGGAGGGGGAAACTGAGGCTGACTGCAGATGAGTGTTGCCCGGAAGCGGGAGCGGCGGGATCCCGGGCCCGGAGCTGGAGAGAAGCAGGATCCCTTAGCTGAAAGTCCTTGCTTGGGGCGGGGAACTGGTTATTCTCTTATTTGTTAGTTCATTTATTTATTTTCATTCATTCAACATTTATGGAACACCAACCCTGTGCCTGGTACACCGGTCGCCTCGGGAACCGCTAACAAGGAGACAAACAAGATCCCGGCCACCCTCACGGAGCTCTCATTCTGCTGAGGGCTGAGGCTGCCAGGAGTTTGCCGCCCCTTGGCTTCGTATAATCATGGTTATTTAACGTAATAACCTTGATTAGGCCCCCACCAAGGGCCACGCCCTGTACTAACCACTCAACACGTTTCTCAAGGTGACTCGGAAAGGAGAACTGTCCCATTTTACAGATGAGGAACCCGAGGTCCGCAGGACACAAGTACCACAGCTCTCTTGTGATGGAGGCAGGATTTGAGGCCAGGCCTGCACCCAAGAAGGGAATCCAGTGAGAGGACACCGGGCCCTGTGGCCAGCTAGAGCCTGCAAGAAGGTGAGGTGGGTCCGTCAAGACCTCTGTGGCCCAAGTCCCCTGGGTCACTGCCTCTGGCTTGGAAGATAGGAAGGGACAGGGGAAGCCTCTCATTCTGAGAGCTGGGGGGCTTGTCAGCTGGAAACATCTCTCCCAGCCTCAAGCAGACCCTCTGGGAGAAGATGGAGGACTCAACTCACAATGCCATGGGGGCCAGGCTCTCCTTACTCCCTCCAGTGCAGCCTGGCTGGTTGGTCTCTTTCCTGCTTCAGATGCACTAAGCTGTTTCCCATCTCGGGGCCTTTGCCCGTGCTGTGTCCTCTAGCTGCAATATTCTTCCACTTCATCTTTCAGATCTCAGCTTAAATGTCCTTCCTCAGGAGGGCCCTCCCTGATCTCCACCTAAGTGATTCCTTTTGTTATTTTGTTATTGTCCGCCTGGTGCATTGTGAGATTGTACATTTTTGAGGGTGTGTGATTAAATTTGGTCCGTCTCTTCCCTAGGAGTAGGGCAGTTTCATTCATTGCCACGTCTGCAGAACAGTACCTGGCACACAGTAGGTGCTGAATATATACACTGACTGGCCAGATTATTATGACCACCTGATGTTTGTAGGCAAATTAGCCGTACACTGCATCATATGGGATATGGAAGCCGAAGGCCTGTTCGAACACCTTTGCTGTCCACAGTTACCGAGATAAAACGTCTCCAATTCGCACAGGAACACAAGGATTGGACAGTCGAGCATTGGAAAAAAGTCATGTGGTCTGATGAATCACATTTCCAGTTGCATCATGCAGATGGCAGAGTGAGAATTTGGTGGAAACAGCATGAATGCATGCACCCCACATGCATGAGTACAACCCTTCAAGCTGGTGGGGGCAGTGTTAGGGTTTGGGGCATGTTTTCCTGGCATGATTTGGGCCCTTTAATTCGTGTGGAACAATGTCTGAATAGCACAACATACCTAAGTATCGTTGCTGATCAAGTTCATCCTATCATGTTGATGGCATATCCCAATGGAGATGGCTTCTTCCAACAAGACAATGCACCATGCCATGGTGCTCGAATTGTGCAGGAGTGGTTTCAAGAACATGAGGGAGACTTTACCTTGCTTAGGTGGCCCCCACAATCACCAGATCTCAATCCAATTGAGCATTTGTGGGACGAAGTTAAAAGAGCCATCAGGCAGCTGGTTCCACAACCATCAAGTCTCACAGAACTGGACAGTGCTATTCATCAGGCATGGTGTCAGATTCCTCGCTTCACCTTTCAACATCTTGTACATCTTGTAGAGTCAATGCCAAGAAGAATCGCTGCAGTGTGGAAGGCAAAAGGTGGCCCAACGAAGTACTGATGGGGTGGTCATAATAATCTGGCCACTCAGTGTATATGTTGAATGAATGAATGAATGAATGAATGATTAGTCTGCAGAGCTCCAGGCCTGGCCCAGCTGCATCCTTGCCAAGAGGCCAGGCCCAGATGGTGAACTGGTGGTTGAGTGGGAATAGGGGACAGAGCCTGAGGGAAGCCCGGCTCCAGGCCAGCTGCCCCAGAGGCCCGAGCCAGGCGTCTCAAACAACCTCAGTCTGTCCAGCACTGCCTTCAAAGGCTTCTGTCACATCTGGGAGCCCAGAACAGAGGGAAACAGGTTCTTCCCGCAGACCCAGTTCCAGTGGCCTCTGTGGTCTCAGCCTGAAGTTGGCAAAGACCTCATAAATGGGGAGGATGTGGGAGGGGCAGGCTCAGAGCCCCAGAGCCAGGGCTGGCAAAGTGATGACAGAGGAGGCAGGGACACGTGGGGAAAAGATTCTGGGAGAAACAAATGGTAAGGTGGAATGCAACATGGCATAGAAGCTGAGAGTCAGACTTCCTGGGTCCAAATCCAGCTTTTCCTTTGGAAAAGCAGTCTAACCTCTCTGTGCCTCAGTTTCCTCATCTGAAAAATAGGGGTGACAGTAAGATTGACTTCACAGAGTGGTTGTGAGCACCTCAAGAGCTTGGTGCAGAGGCAGCGATTCCACCTACCTGGTATTTAATGTTAACAGTAGTAGCAGGGTCTGACAGGTGGGGTGAACTTGGACTTCCCCATTTGGAACTTGGGCAAGTTACTGTACTTCTCTGAGCCTCAGGCTCCTCATCTTCATTTGGGTCTCATGTAAGTCCCTTTGGGGTGCTGAGAGATGGGGGCCTGAGAGTAGCCCACCTGGGCCCAGCCATCATCTTGCCCAAATTGAGTTGCTTCAAGAATAACGATAAATAATAATAATAATAATAATAATAATGGCAGTAAACACTGTTCAAATCACTCCATGTGCATAAACTCATTTTAATCCCCACAGAAATTACCTGGGGGTCTTGTTAAAATGCAGGTTTGCTCAGTGGCTAGAGCGTCAGCCGGTGGGTTTGATTCCTGGTTAAGGGCATGTACCATGGTTGCAGGTTCCCCAGCCTCGGTAGGAGGGCACGTGGGGAGCAATCAATCAATGTGTCTTTCTCAGGTCAATGTTTCTCTGTCTCTCTCTCCCTCCCTCCCTTCCTTCCATCTCTTTCTAGAAATCAATGGAAAAAATATCCTAGGGTGATGATTAAAAAAACAAAACCATGCCGATTCTGGCTCAGTAGGTCTAGGTGTGAGATTCTGCATTTCTTATAAGCTCCCAGGTGGTGCTGATATTTGGGGAACCACACTCTGAGCAGTGAGGGGCTAAAGCCCTTGCTTAAGGCCACGTAGATGATGCGCAGTGAGCCTGGACTCAAGCTCACACGGTAGGCTTCAGAGTCCTGTGCTTAACTGCCACCCTGCTTGCCCCAGCCCCAGCCCCAGCCCCAGCTTTCTCCCCTACAAAGAAGAGACAGGAAGTAGAGCTCCCCTCCCCAAGCTCATTTCCTCTCCTGGGGCCTCTACCTCCATGCTGACATTTGGCCCATAGTACCCCCCTGCCTCCAGTGTCCCAGGGGTCCTCCCTGGCGATTGCAAAGAGGTTCTCAGATGCTCATTAGCCAGGAAGATAACTAAGGGCAAGGGATGAGCTCATCCTGGCTCCCTGGGGATTGCCATGGCTCAGCTGAGTCTGCCTTGTGCCAGTCTGGCCCTGTGCCTGCTTCCCTTTGCTGGAGAGGCTGGGACAAGAGAGGGACTTGCTAGGGAGTAGGGAGGTCTCAGCCAGCCTCATGGGAGACTCCCTCCAGCTGGGCCTTTCTGCCTCGCCACCAGCCACCAGGCTGCACAGGCTTCTGCTTCCAGGGCATCCCCCTAAGGATTCCGGACCTAAAATGAAATGAAAACTGCTTGGCCAGAGGGGAGTTTCCCAAAAGGTGAGAGGTGACCCCCTAGTGAGTTCTGCAGGGTTAGGTCAGGTGGGACAGCTAACAATGAATCAGACAACAATTCTCGTTCAAGGGGAGAAAGCCTCACTTGCTTTAACATCTCTCCACACCGGCTTCCCTCATAACCAGGAGGTTGCAAACCTCAGGCTCAACGTGTGGGCAATCCACATTCTTGAACTAGAGGTTAATAATGTGTCATTTTCTGCGTATTTATGTTTACAGTTACCTTCTATTTTGGGCTCAGGTATTGCTTTTCCATTTGTGATAATGACATACCTATCCCTTTAAAAATCCATCCATTAAGGGGGAAAAGTGAGTTAAAGCAAAGTATTAATGGAAGTAACTAGAGGTGGTACAGGGAGATGAAAGCAGTGGGGACAGTGGCAAATGGATAGCTGAAGTGAGGAACCTGCTCGAGGTGAACCAGAGGGCTGCTCACAGCCTAGGCACCCCACAGACTTCTTACTGCAGGGCCCAGCAGACCACCAGCCCGAGACAGAGACATCCCACAGGCTCTGTGTCTGCCAGAAAAGTCCATGTATGTTTTCCTGGGTTGAGTGGGGCCTAGGTTGACTCTGGTCTTTATTCCTGAGGTCTGTGGTCAGTGTCAGTGTGATGAGGAGCAGACTAAGGGAGCAGGGTTGGCAGGCCCAGCCTGAGATGCTCCCCACCCCCAGCCTGCCCTGCTTTCCATCTGTAGCACCAACACCGCCAAACACACACACACACACACAACATACACACACACAAGCACTGGAGCCTGTTAATCATACATTCATTCAGTTATTCATTCATTCAACCAATCTTTATTGAGCACCTACTATGTGCCAAGCACTGTGTTAGGGGCTGGGGAGACAACCATGAACCAGTTAGGCAAATCGTAGCCCTCATGAAGTTTACATTCTTCTAGGACAGCGGTTCTCAACCTGTGGGTCGTGACCCCTTTGGCGGTCGAACGACCCTTTCACAGGGGTCGCCTAAGACCATCCTGCATATCAGTTATTTACATTACGATTCATAACAGTAGCAACATTACAGTTATGAAGTAGCAACGAAAATAATTTTATGGTTGGGTCACAACATGAGGAACTGTATTTAAAGGGCCAGAAGGTTGAGAACCACTGTTCTAGGAGAAGACAGATGATAAACACAGAAACAAATACAATATATGGCATGTCAAACAATGTATGTGCTAGAGAGTAAAATAAGAGGTGTGAGAGCATGGCGAGGTAGAGGTGGAGGGCCTTTCTGAGAAGGTGTGTCAGGCACTGGGATGGATGCAGCCTTGTCTTGACATCAGAGAAACTCACAGACGTGGAAGCAGGCAGACAATGAGCCAGCACCAGGCAGGGATCTCTCTTATTTTTATTTTTAAGTAATTTTTTAGTGAACTTCGGGTACACAGAATGATGGATAGATTATACTCCAGATCATGGTGTATTCCTCTTTCATCCTTGTATGACCTGCTTTTATTTAAAATTTCATAGTTATTTTATTGTTGTTATTTTTAACCTGGTGATTTTTCATTGTTGTTGTTGTTTTTAATTGATTTAAGGGAGAGTGGAAGGGAGAGGGAGAAAGAGAGAGAAACATTGATTTGAGAGAGAAACATTGATCCCTTGCCTCCCATTCATGCCTCCAATGGTGATCAAACCCGAAACCTGGGTATATGCCCTGACCAGGAATCAAACCTTTTGGTGCACAGGACGATGCTCCAACCAACTGAGGCACACTGGCCAGGACACATAGTTATTTTAATCATGTAATAAACACCAGGTAGCCCATCAATTAAAACAAAAGCTAGGACCCTAACAATGGCCAACATTGAGTCCTGAGATTCCCCCCATTTCATCCCCTGCCTGGGGTCCCTGTCACTTTGAATCCTGTCTTCATCACTCCCTAATTTCCTGGACAGTTTTATTATACCTACATCCTACCTTACTAACTTTATTAAAAGGGTATACATATTAGTTTCATAGGGCTGCTGGGACAGATTACTATAAACTGGATGGTTTAAAACCATTGAAATTTATTCTCTCACTGTTCTGGAGACTAGAAGGCCAAAAGGTGTCAGCAGGACCACACTCCTTCTGAAGGTTCTGGGAAAAGATCTGTTCCCCGCCTCTCCTGATTTCTGCTGGTTGCCAGCAATCCTTGACAATCCTTGTCTTCTACATGCATCACTCCAGTCTCTGTCTCTGTCTTCACATGCATTCTCCTCCGTGTATCATTGCGTCTTTTTTCCTCCCAACATTATTGAAGAATAATTGACACATATAATTGTATATATTTTAAAAATATACAACATGGTGCTTTTATATACATACACATAATTACTCAGATCAAGATAATTGACATATCTGCCACCTCACATAGTTACCTTGTGTGTGTGTGTGTGTGTGTGTGTGTGTGTGTGTGGTGAGAATGCTTACGATCCACTGTCAGCAACTTTCAAGTATACAATAACAAATTATTATTTTATTTATTTATTTATTTATTTTTGACTTTTTTTTTATTGCTTAAAGTATTACAAAGGTTATTACATATGTGTCCTTTTTTTTCCCCCCGCCCTTGACAATCCCCTGGCCTCCCCTACCCCCCAGTGTCTTATGTCCATTGGTTATGCTTATATGCAACAAATTATTAACTATAGTCACCATGCTGTATATTAGATTCTCAGAACTTATTCTTCTTATAGTTGAAAGTTTGTACCCTTTGACCTACATCTCCTCATGTTCCCCTCACCCAGCCCCTCTACTTTATGTTTCTACAAATTCAGTTTTCTTTTCTTTTGTCTTTTCTTTGTTTCTTATTCCACATTTAAGTGATAACCACACAGTATTTGTCTTTCTCTGTCTGGTTCATTTTGCTTAACCTAATGCCCTCCATGTTTATCCATTGTTGTTGTAAGTGGCAGGATTTTCTTTTTTATGGCTGAATAAAAAAATGTGTATGTACAGGGTATCCCCAAAAATGTATAAACACTTAATAGCTGGTAGCTCAATTGATGTTTTTTTTCTTTTCATATTTAACCCATTGGAATTAATAATTATTCAAAGTGTGTATACATTTTTTGGGGACATCCTGAATATACACAATGGAATATTATATGCGTGTGTGTGTGTGTTTGTGTGTGTGTGTGTGTCTTCCATTATATCTATCTATCTATACACACACACACACAATATATATATATATATATA